AAAACACCAGAGATGGAATGCAATTTTTCCCTTCAAGTTGATGCCACTGATAATCATTTCCAATTGTTGATGGCCTGTGTTTAATTAAATTAGCAACACTCGAGTAATTAAAGACGGCTTGCCATCGAAAAACCCTTCTGCTCCTTCCTTGTTTTGCCTTCTGGGCAACATCAATCATATGCCGAAACACAAATACGAAGCTTAACGAAAAATAGAAAGGGAATTCCTAACTTTTTGCTTTCTGTGTCAGGCTCAAGAAGATTTATGGCCAGAACGGGAATGAGATGTGGTCCGGGGTCCGGGGCACATGTGAGTTGGCAACCAAACAGCCAAAAAGTGGCGAAAAAGAGCCGAGGGGGTTATCCCTTTAACGGGTCTAACAAATGTAGTTTTGAGTCACATTTGGCTCAGCATCCGCGACTGATTGTTTAAATAAATGAGTCAGTGCTGCCCTTATTCCATTGATTTTCAACTGCAACTTGTCGCTCCTCCACACTACCCACAACATCCCCACTAAATTGACAAGCCATTGATTGATGGCCTCGGCGTCTAGGTCATGGCAACTCCTCAATCCTTCTTAGGCCATTAATTTACTAAAAAATTGCATTTTATTTAGTTTTTATGGCCCGCATATTTTGCAACCAACGAAACCTTTTCATTATTGTAAATCCTAACAAATAGTTTGCCATTATCCCTTTGCCAGAGCTGGTCTTGTCCATGGGGCCAGTTGGGGTGGTTACCATTCCAAAGCACAACCCCATGGCTCTGGGTACTCCCACGACATGTCGAAGTATTTGATTGAACGGCCACACAACCATTTGACCGTCCATTCTTCACATATTTACAGTGCGAGCCGAAAGTTTAGGGCTTTCTAGAGGAACACCATATCTTTGGTTGGGAACTTCCATAACAACATACCTTAATGAAGCTTAGCATATCAAAGGGAAATCTAGTTCACTTGTAAACTTTATAAACATATTTTTATACAACCATATTTAGCTAACTTAATTGATTGTGTTCTCACACATTATTGTAATGGAGCGCACGTTACCCTTGCTCCTTGTCATAAAAATACTTTATCAATGGAAAGAACTACATACATACATATATGGGAAACGCATCGCATAATCGATAATCATAAACATTAGAGCTTTAAATTTAATATCGCTGATTGCCTGCCACTTCCAATGACTAAATGCTTTTCTGACTCTTTTATATGCCTGAAATGGGTAACCATAAAATATCCTTTAATATATCAGCCCTTAAAAATATTTTCTTGATTTAGAAATTAAATGATTTGATCAGAGGACGGAAACCTCTATGATGGTCAAAATATTTTACAACAAATCTCTTTAATAAGCCTCAAATTATAGAACAAACAGCAGCTTGTTTTTCCTCTTGGCCTTTCTTGGCCACAACTTTTTTGCCTGCACCAATTTGATTTTGTCATTAAAAAGTTTTTAGCGAAATAATAAAGTTTGTCAGCGCGGAATTGGAGGGCCAGACGGAAGCAAAGAGATCTGGAAAAAAGAAAAGAACGTCGCAGTCCAAAAGTGGCCAATGAAAGTTTTAATTTTCGATGTACGGCGGAAGGGAGGATGGGGGCACATCTGGCCAAGAGCAAACTACGGACTTTTGGCGGATCCCAAATGTAAAGCTTATCTTCGCAGGGTCGCACCGTCGCAGGGTCGCAGGATGTGTCCGAACTCGGTTGCTATATGTCAGGAGTTAAAGCGCATTCTGTTCGTGGGAAAAAGCGTTAAAAATAACCTGCAGTCATCACTTTTTGCCAGAGAGAAAGTTTAATTAAAATTTTTAAATCAATAAAGAAATTGATTACTTTTAAATGGTTCTGTTTGCCAATGCGCAACAATGCTGTTGAAATGGTAGTGATTTTAAGTGTAAAATTACATTTATCGCGTTATTGAATTATTTGTGATTGGAAAATGAAAATTTATAGAAATTTATTGTTGGCCAAATGTTAAAAACAGAAGAGAAAATAAATATGTTTATATTTAAAATATTAAGAATCTTTATATTACCTCAATGCTGAAACCTTTACTAATAAACTTTTATAAAACTATGAAGCAGGCATGACAATATTTATGTTAAAAGTTATAGTCCCATATCCAACCATCTATCTATCTATACTGTTGCATCTTATAAGAATTGTAAGCAGTTTTCAAGAAATTTGTTTAACATCAAAAATGATTCTTGAATTTATAAATGCTTCCTTTAGTCTTTCATGTTGGGTTGTGCATAGTCTTATGCATAGACAAATTCGTGATTTTTAATTTTAAATTATTGCTATTGAATTTATACACCAACCCACCTGGAACCCCTACCATATCCTTTCCATTTCCAAGAACCAACAGCATCGGCATGAATTATTGACTTTGTCGCGAGAAGTGGATGAGTTGCACCGCCCATGCAGGTGGCAATCGGAGGCACTCTTCCTTCCTCTCCGTGCTTATTGAATTATATGCAACTCTGGACGATGCATAATTCAATTAGCATATGGGAGAGCATGGACCATGGCCTGCAGGCACATCCTGTGTCCAACATGACGTATGCGCAATGCGAAAGCAAAAGATGGGCAAAGGCATGAACTGGGAACTGGGATTGGGAGTGAGAAAGCTAACCGATGCTGCTCCGTTATGAATTACATTTCAATATGCTTCAACGTGTTCATCATTTATTAAACCGACTGGGGAGGCACTCTCAACTGGCAAATGCCAGGCTGCGAAATGCCAATTGCCGAGCGGAGGATCCTTGGGTATGGGACTTGAGCTGGGACTTGGCTGCAAACAGGAAGCCGGAATGCTGCTGAGCGACTACCGACGAGTGCTTAGCTCCGTTTGCAATTTCCGTTTTGTCACATTTGTCTAACTAAATGGAAATTTATGCAGCTCCTTCTCGACTCAGATCCTGGGTCCTGGTTCATGGTTCCTGCTTGGGTTAATGCTTTATTCACGGTCCAGCGCTTAATGAAAGAGTCATTACACTCATTCATTCATTCAATCGCTGATTCATTCATGAGCGGACGAGAGCGCGTGTCCTTTGTTTTCCATTTCCCAGCCATCGATGCTCCTGTAGCTGGAGCTCTTGTTGTTGTCGTTAATTAATTGATTTTCATTGATGCCTGGGTAGCATTAATCATACGCCATGTTGGCCCAGCTACCGTCGAAGACTATTGTTATTCCTTCCTTAGCCAGCTGTCCTCCTACTTCGCAGCTATTTGCCCTGTCTCTCAGCGAAACTTTTCAATGGGCTGCAGGAATGCAGTTTTTGTCAAAGTTTTTCATTAACGCTTCACTTGCCAGCGAGGCAGTGAACTACAAAGAGGAGGAGGAAAATTGCAGCTGCTGAAATTGGAATTATTTTATATACCTAGACTGGGGGATAAACAGGATCCTTAAGAATTAATATTAACAAAATGTATAAATTTAAATAGAAGTTTAAAATTAAAGAATTTTAAAAACAGAACCAAACTGACTGAAATGGTTTTAAAATCCACAATTAACTAAAAACTTTTCGTTATCAGATTATGTATTCAAGATGTATATAGTGATTTTTTGTAAAGAGTATTAAGTCTTCTGTGTTGCTTTGAAAGAGAGTTATAACTTTTCTTAATGCCATTGTAAAAGTTTTCAAATTGATCACGCATCGCTGGCTGGAAACGTGCGGCAATTTATTTGCATCAATAATTGAATTTAGAGCAAAAGATTAAACAAATTTAATTGCCTACCGTCGAGTGCAAAAAGTAAAATGTATTTTCAGTTAAGCATTTCCACAAACGCAATTACAAAAAAATATTAAAATAAACACCATTGAAGCTTGCACTTTGGTCGCTGGGCTAGGTGACGCATAAATAAATCATTTCCGCAAACAGCAAAGGGGTTTTGCATAATAGATGCCGTAGATTTATGTGCGGTAATGTTGCCTAAAATATGCATAACTTATGGCCGTAAACATAAATGAATTCATAAATTGCACCGCCAAGCCGGAAGCTTTAGAGCCAGGGGAATGGTGGAGGCCCCATTCCAAAAACGCGGTCTGCCAACGCGGCTTAGCCGAAATCAATTAAATTGGCTTGTGGCCTGACTCCCGTCCGGAGAGGTTTCATTTCCAGCTTAGTGGTTGACGTTTTGACAGTTTTACTGTAAGTCCTTCTTGTCTATCTGCTTAAGCGGCGACTTATTTTGCGACCTATTTCTGCCACCAAGCGATTACAATTTAATCAATGAAATATTTAAATAGGACATAGTAAGAGTGAAGAAAAACTTATATTTCTGAAAAATACTTTATTTATATAATATCTAGGAATATCTGGAATTAGTTGTCTTATTATGATATCTGCGGTTTTATTTAGTTTAAACTAATTCCACCAAAGGTGTCCGATTCATAACATTAGAAGCGCATCTAGTTATTGCAAAATATGATGCAAATAATTTCAAATTATATCATAAGATATGGTAAGATACAGCTCGTTCAACTTTCCTATCATTTTTATTGGACGACACTTAATTATCATAAGAAAATAGAAATCAATTTACTTTACAGAACATTTAAGTTTAGTGGATGTTGAAATTAGAAATTCTTATTAAATTATACTCTTAGATATTTTTACGAAACTAATATTTTCTTTAAATATACTGATAGCGGGTAGAACTCTAAGAAAACTACGCACCAAAAACACAAAATCACAATGCACTAGAAATAATTTTAGATAACTTCAATGTATTTCTTAGAAATCCCATTTTTTCCTAAAATTATTATTAATTTTAATGTGTTTTCACTATATCAATTTCATTATCTTTAGGAAAGTAACAGTTACCTGAAGAAAATTAATATTTGCTTATTGGAATTCCCTATTAATGCGTTTTTCAATCATTGTTATCAAGAAAATTTCGAAATTCTTTCAGATAGCTTTGCTGCACCTGGCCTATAAAAGACTTATTCTATCCGTAGGGGTTCCGTCTTTGTGTTCCAAAGTCTTATCCAAGCTAACCAAAATGTTCATCAGGTGCTTTCTGCTTCTATGGATATTCAATTTCCTGTCTGCTGGACGAGTGCCCCAGCCTGAAGAACGTATTATTGGTGGAGGCCCTATTGAAATCGAACAGTCTCCCTGGCAGGTATCTTTACAGGTAGAAGGGGTATACATATGTGGTGGTTCCATTTACAGCAAAGATATCATTATTACTGCTGCCCACTGCACTGAAAAGGAGGATAAACAACTTGAGGCCAAGGATTTTCTTGTTCGCGCCGGCTCCGCATTGAAAAATTCCGGAGGAACTCTAAGCAAAGTGGCCACCCTTATACTCCATGAAGAGTATCATTCGAAAAATTTGCTTAACGACATTGCCATCATGCGGCTGAGCCAACCACTTGAGCTAAGCCACAAAGTTCAGACTATTCCTTTGGCCGAAAGATATCCTGTTCCTGGAACTATTGCATTCACTTCTGGCTCGGGAGAAGCGTTAGATGAAGATGGGACTCCAATAGGTCCTATAAAGCTGCAAGGCACATTCCTTCGTATTCAACCGCTACATACTTGTACCAATCTTTTCTTTACAAGACGTGATTTAATTTGCGCCGGCTCTTCTGGACAAACAGCCTGTATAGGCGACTCTGGTGGACCATTGATTGTAGACCAAAAACTTGTGGGTGTCACATCATTCCAAGGTTGCATTGATCCTACACTCTTCGCCAATGTTCCTTACTTCAGAAAATGGATATTAGACACTATTAATTATATTTAAAACAAGCAATTGAATTAAATTTGGATTGCAAAAAATACAAGCTTGGTCTCAATTTCCCCAATATTCATCCTGTTTAATAGTATACTCGTATATACTTCATTGTGTTATAACTTCTCGATATTTGTTTAAAAGTTGTTGGCATTTTCAATGCTTAATTATAATTCGCCTCACTTCTTATGTTTTTCGCCATTTCGCTTCAGTTCGTTCTGTATCGTTTGCATTTGGTCGCCTGTTTTGAGTTAACCGCGTTTAAAAAAATAAGGAGTCATCTATGTGTAAGAACTTAAAAAATAATTATCGCTTCGCTAAGATTTCAAATTCTGAAAGTTAGAAGCGAATTCGAAAAAATAGATGGCGCCCATCAACCTAATTCAACCTATAACCGTTAGTTGGCGCTGTAATTGATTTTGGTTCACATCCAGCGTATTAGTGAACCAATAAAGAAGCTCACTTCGACGTGCACCAAATTTAAATTGTTTTTAAGCATTTAGATTTATTCTAATCTTAATTTAATTACAATATTATGTAATAATGGATACGATTTATACATATAAAAGATAGTCAAGTTGAGTCATGATATCTGCGCCTTTCCACATCTTACAAATAGGCGAAACAGCTGTCCACTGATAATCGATGGCATTTTGCTCGTACACGGTCACACCGGCAGTAACAGCTGTTCGCGGGTGCAAGAACAAAAAGTGTAACTGAAAAAAGACAATTGTGCAACTGATGCGCTGCAAAAAGGAAACAATTGAATAAAAGAGCGCGCAACTTAGTTGTTGCCCGACGACGGGCGAGCGAGTGAGAGCGATCTAGCGAAGAAGTGGATTTAAATTAAAAATATTCATCACAGGAGCATGAAAAACGCTTGGTGATACAGGTCGGATACTTGACGGCCACAGCAGAATGCAGACTGTTTGGCTGTTGCATAAATTCCGTTAGTAATTTTAACTATTTCTGCCGCCTCTATTGTGGTTCTTGTTGTAGTTGTGCGCGTGTGCCGTGTGTGTGTGTGTGTGCTATAAGTCTATATTAGCTTGGCGATATATTTATATTCCTAATTACAAACGTTGTGTTGTGTCGGCGGTCGTGTTGCCGAATTAAAAGTTTTAGTTTCCCATCGGCGGGCGGAGCTCTTAGTCGCTAACATTACATCAAACTAACGGTGCTTACGTGCCACACGACGCACATACCTCAATCCCCTAACACTACCGCACTCACACCCACACACACAAAATACCGCCTTCACCTTGAAGTGCCTGTCGAAGTGTCGGAATCGCTTCCTATTTATTTGCCGTTAATTTAACGGAACTTCTTGCACTGAGAGAGTGGTGTCAAGGTAGCCCATATAAATGTATACACGTCTACATACACACAAACAAACAGCTGTGGTCAAAAATTCAATGTTTTTCCTTGTTCGCATTTGAAAAAAAATTTCTCGAAAATGGAAAGATTTCATATTTGTCATTTGTTCTTATTTTTAACTTTAAAAAACTTAAAAATAAAAACAATTGTATATAGACAGTCTTTTTTAAAAACTTTTTTACCTGCAAAATAGCATTGTCATAAAAATTTGACTCATTTAGGGAGAAATGGCGAATACAATGGAAAATGCCTCCATTGTAAATTCCTGGTGCTATTGTTTTGAACGCAACTGTACTCCTACATACATATTTTTATGTTTATATTAGAGTCTGGGAAAGAAAAGTGTCGACGGCTGATAAGGAGGCGTCTTAATTGTTGCTGTTCATCAGTTGCACTTTGGACGACCTATTTAAGTGACATTGTTTTTCGCAATAAATAAATAATTTTTAATCGCCTCATTTTGTTATTTTTTGCCGAAAATTTGTTTGATGGTTACGGAATAAATATATATTGCATCAGCTAATTGAACAGGAAATAAAACTGATGTGCAAATAATTCATATTTTTAAAAACAATATAAATGTAAAGTATATTTTGTTTGGTAATTACCGCCAGTAAATAATTAAATTTAGCACTGCAATGAAGTGCTAATCTTACTGGAAAATCTTGAAAGCTAAATAATAATTACCCTTTTTAATAAGTATATTTTGTATGCGTTTAAGTCGTTGAATTTTACTTACAAAAAACTGAATGTTTTATGGTAGTACAATTTATTTGTTATTTTTAAATAGAAATTCATTCAATACATGAAGTGATTTGTTTTCACAAGTTCTTCTACACTTTGTACATCTCAAAGATAAAAGAAAAATTGCTAAAACAATGAAATTAATTTTGAATTTTCTGATACAAGATCTTAAAATGAAAGAAATTAAATTTTTCTTCAATTCGTTTTTCAAATATAAACAAATATTTGTATTTTTAATGAAACAGATTACTGTACCCAATAACTTGTAATCCCAATAACCGAATCTACATTATATGTATACAAACATATGTACAAATGTAGAATTTCAATCTCTTTTTTCGGCAGTCAAAAAATCGCATGCGATAAAAATCTTCCCAAATATTGGTTATGGCAACAACAACTGATGAGTTTGCTTTTTCTCCCTCTCATTCCCTTCTATAGCCCAAGTGGACGGCACACACACATCACGTGTTTGACTCTGGCTACAAATTTGTAGCAGCGACACGATCACGAGCAACTTTCGTTTTTCCATACTTCCCACCTACTCTCACTCCAGGACAGCGCTCTCTTTTGTGGTCGCGATGTTCTCTCTACAGCAGTTGGTCAGAGCGACATTTAACGGCGGCAGCGATCTCAGCCGGCTGCTGCGCCACATGAGCGGCGTGACGTCAGGAACTACAACTACACTGGTAAAGTAGCAATTTTATAACGTAAAGTGTAAATATAGTTATGTTTATAACCAGTTTATTTAAGTTATTAACTTTATCTAAGATTAAATCTAAAAAAGAATTATTTTCTGAGGCCTTTTCATTTTTTTCATGAAAAACTAATTTATGAAACTAGTTTAGCATTGTAAAAATACAAATATCTTACATATATATTAGTATTAAAAATTTAAGAATATCTAGAATATTATATAAATTTCTTGAAACAAATATACTCCTTTTAAAATCGAATGTATTCAACTGTGCCGATTTTATATATTTTTTTTTCTTTTTTTTTCAGTGCACAACGGCGGCTACAAAGCACTCTAGTCAGGCGAAGTTGGGCGACAACGGCAGTCACGGTTCGCCCTCACATACAGACGGTTGTAGTCACGGCGAATCAGAGTCGGATTTGGAGTCGGCGCACGGCCAGAATTTGTCAGCACAGCAGTTCGTCAGGAGGATACTGCAGCAACGCAGCCAGGACATCCAGCGCCACATCCACACGCAGTCAGCCAAAGAACCTACCAGAGCTAAGTCTACGCAGCAAAATCAGCAGCAGCAGACCTCCACCAAGTTCGCCATGTCATCGCTAGCAGCCGAGCCCCTACAATCCCAAAAACAGGATGAAATCACCGCCAGCACGGGTGGCGATGTGGAGAATCCGGGCCTGGGAGCCTCTTGCCACGATGTGGCATCCGCATCAGCCAGTGCCGGCAAAAAAGCCCTGCTTCAGCACAGGTCTCGGTGAGATTCTACAGTTCATGGAGCTCATCGGCAACCTTAAGGTATGTGAAACTGGTTTACCCCCATTTCCCCTGCTCCACTCGCGCGTCATATGTTCGCATCGATTTTTCCCGAAGTCCTGCGTGTTTTGATTTTGCCACCAGCTATTAGAAAAGTGTATATGAAAGTCTTCTGCTAGAAAGGAAATTCATTTGAAAAGTGTGCAAAGAATTATTTAAATATTTGTTTTATAATAATCTATCCTCCATGGTTTTTTATATCTTATTTTATATTCAAAATATATTTTTGGCAGTTCATTTAAGGCCCCTGTTCTACTTCTTTGTTAAAAGTGTTGTTATTCTAATATGTTTTTTTGAATATTTAAATCAAATTATTTAAAACCGAAATTTATAAAATAATAATTAGGCTAAATTATAAACAACATTCCTTACATTGCTATGGTTTTTATAAATTGATGATATATTTCTACTTAATCGAGGGCTTTTCAATAAATACCCAGCTCATTCTTACCAAAATGCTATTAAATTCCTTGATCTATTACGAAATCCTTTTGCTGGTATAAGTAAGGCAACAAATAGTCAAATCGCTTATCAAAATATTTCTGCAAAATGGCAATCTTAAGAAAAGACAGAAAGCCAAATAGAAAATAAACAAAAGTGTGAAATCCAAAGCAAACAGAACGCAAAGGTGTATTTATTTACGTTTTGTATAATCAATTCTATTTTGTCTTCACTCTTTGGTTTGCTTTTTATTTTGCTTAGTATATTTGCGAAAGTCTTGTATAATGTCAGCGGCAACCTCGCTCTTGTATCCCTCTTGAACGGATTTGTATAGTTGGTTGCCAACAAATATATCTAATATATAGGCAGTTTTGTATATCATTTTGTACGTTTCGCTTAAGTTGTTTCTTGAATTGTTTTTTTTCTTGAATTCTACATGTTTTTTTGTGTAAGATTTATCTCTGATAAATATACAGATAGATGCATACACAAAGTGCAAAGTCTAGCTGAAAAGAAAGAGAATCTTTGAAGAAACCACAGCTGTGTGTAAGTCATATAAAGTTTTATAAGCAAAACAAACAGTGCAAAAGTCTAGAGCTGCGCGTTCTAGAATCATTAGCTTCTCGTTTATCTAATCAGAGTAGTTGAAGCCACCAATAAAGTGACGAAGATCTTCAAGCACGGGGCTCGTTTTCTTATCAACGAACTGAAGAAAGTGAATCGCTTTGAAATTCGAGCAGCTGTTCAAAGAAATGTCACTTAACTGAACTGATTGTTTGATTCGCCTAATCTTCGCAACAAAATGGCAAAAAAAATTTATTCAAAACACTCAGCCAAAGTTCGCAATGGCTCACGTGAGAAGGAATTTTCGCTTTTTTGCTTTTGTTTTTTGGATTTTGGATTCATTGCGAAATTTAGTTCGTGCCCCAAGAACAAAAATCTTCCGTCAGCATTGACGTAAGACGGGCCACAGACTAGAGAAAACTACAACAAAAATTGACCAATGGCAGTTCTCTAAATTTTCATAATTTTCTATTATATATCCGATTGCATATTGAACGTACAGAAGCAAGGTAAAAAAAGCAACGCGTGACTTTGATCTTGGCCTTCAAATTATAGACGCTATCAACAAGAGTTTATGGAGCCCCTCAAGGGCGGGGAATGGGTTGTGTGAGGCAATAATATTATTCTAGATGTTTTCCATAATGACCGCAGGAAAACAATAGCTTTGTTTTCAAATATAAATAAATACACTATATTCTTTTTATTACGTCATTAGTTGTTTTGTTATTAGTCAACACGAAACGCTAATAGATTATTGGTTTCAGGAGAAATGCTTTTTAATTTGTTTGTTGCTCATATATAAAATGTTTTTATAAATATTAATTAATATATTTTTAATAAGATGGTGGAACATCCCAATACATGTCAGTTCATATATCATCCCTATTTGTTAAGCAATTCAATTAATCAACATAACTCCGCAGTTAACCAAGCCAATTTGTTTATTTTCGATATCACCAATATTAATAAAGTTAATATGCATTTATATACCTTACATGCATGTGGTGCGCACTCAGTGGGTTTCTGTTCAAAGATAAAAGCAAAGCTCTCAGATAAGGCATTCGATTCATTACGTGGCAAATTAACTGATCGGGCAAGCTAATCAATAACCCCTATAAGTTCGATGTGATATAATTGCAGCGGAATGGTGGCTTCTTGCAGTTCAATTAAACAATAATATTTGGTATAAGTAAACTACCATTGGCAACAGGGAAAGCCAGCGAACGTCAATGGCAATTGGCCTGCAACGTCTTTTGGACCTTGTTCACCCCACCGCCGGCTTCTATAAATACAACGATTATTGATCAAATAGCAATAGTCTAGAACTACCCTCGCTGGCAGGTTTTGGGCTGAAGGTCTGGGGCAAATGCCTCCAACCTTGATGTATGCACCCGGTAACGATGTCACCAAAGTCGCGTCATGTTTTAATTAGCCAAAGTGACGTACATATAACTCACGAAGTTTACTATAGAACAATATAATAAAATCCTAAACTGAATCCATGATTGGGGTGCAGATTGTTCACTGAAATCTGTTTATCCATACATCACATGACAGTTTCTTATATTAAAACTTAACTAACCCGCTCTTCTCCTTTCTGTCTTACAGCATACAAAACGCACCGGATGGGTGCTGCGTGATGTCAACGACTGTGAATCTATTTCAGGACACATGTACAGGATGAGCATGCTGACCTTCCTACTGGATGGCAGCGAGGGACTCAATCAGATTCGCTGCATGGAACTGGCATTAGTGCACGATTTGGCGGAAAGTTTGGTGGGCGATATAACGCCCTTCTGCGGGGTTTCCAAAGACGAGAAGCGGGCCATGGAGTTCAAGGCAATGGAAGATATATGCAAGTTGATCGAGCCTCGCGGCAAGCGCATAATGGAACTGTTTGAGGTTGGTTGACTATCAAATCTATTTTAAAAATTATGCTAACGTAATCTAATCTAACAGGAATATGAGCATGGACAAACTGCCGAGAGCAAGTTTGTCAAGGATCTTGATCGCCTGGATATGGTTATGCAGGCGTTCGAGTACGAGAAGCGGGACAATTGCCTTCTGAAACACCAGGAGTTCTTCGACTCAACGGAGGGCAAGTTTAATCACCCATTCGTTAAGAAGCTGGTCAACGAAATCTACGAGCAGAGGGACGTCCTGGCTAAGGCCAATGGCGCCACACCTCCCCCGGCTATTGAGGTGCCCAACATGGATAGGCCGTCAAAAGTGGCCAACGGGCATGACGGCTCAAGTTGAGCGTTATTCTAGGAACCAGTCTTAGGCTAGCACATGATCACATCCTCACATACAACCACCATGCTCTTAATTTGTAAGCCAATCCAACTAACAAACTGTTAAGCCTACCTCGACACGCTCATAGCTAGATCTAACTTTTAACACACTAATTTATTGCGAAAGAAACGGAATGGATGGAACCGATGGGAGTAGCTACCAATTATCATGAACAAACAAACACCTGTTGAACACGTCTCCTTAGTTCAATTTCCTTTAAGTTAAGCGTAAAGTTGCGGATCGAGTTTTATCTAAATATCAAATTGATCTGACTAAGAAACACAATTGTACATAACTAAAACAAATTGTAGTTTATTTTAAAAGTATAATGACCACAGACGAGGCGAATAAATGTAAATGTTGTCCTATAGCAATTTTATTCAAACAGCCGAACTTATAGATCAAAATGTAATCAAAATAATTGATTTTTTAATAATATGTTCGCACCTGCATTACTTTTACCCTTCAATCGAACAATTGTAACCAAATTATAATTAATATAACATTGTGAATTAGGCAATATAAAGAGGCAGTCACGCTTCTGACGTGGCTAAAAGACAAAGCACCCATAGTTTGATTGCTCACAAAACTGAAACTTTATTGACAAGAAACAGAAATATAATCCAAACGGGGCGGGAACTGCAGCTCTTATCAGACACGCTTGCTATGTATTCTACAACAAATATCAGTTATTATCTTTAAATATTCAAATATATACTAAGGGCAAACCAACCTTCGATGACAATGAACTGACTTTCGCGGGAGGAAGTTTGATGCGAGTGCTGTCCATGCTTCTTAGCTTTATCTGTTGATAAGATGTGTGTGTTTAAGGGATTAAGTAACCGAAAGATGACCTATCTGACTTACGATGCACTGTTATAATCCGATCTGTTTGACCCATCGCATTCTTTGCCCTGCATTTATACTCTCCAAAGTCTCGCTTCGTTATTGGACGCAGGGTGATCCGCATCACGATCCGGTGGACATGATCCACTGTGACTGACTCATATGAACCTCCTGGCAGCAGTTGGGAGTCCCTAAGCCAGAAGTTTACCGATGCCGGCTGCGCCTCTGTTATGCACTCTAGCGTCAGCTTCTGGCCCAGGCCCACGTAAATGGTATCGTATCGTGTCCATATAGTGGGAGCAACTTGGTTTGGATTTCAGGTTTATTTAATATTACAGGACGGATTCAAATATTTTAATCTCACTTACAGTTCACCACCAGCATGACGCGTTTGCTCACTGTGGGCGGCACACCGTTGGAGGCGATGCAGAGGTAGGCGCCCATTTGGGACCGCTGAACCTGCCACAGGGTGAGATTCTGACCTTCCACGCTGTACACCTCCAGGTCGCCATCGTCTGAGAGCAGGAGGGGAATCGAATCCTCGCGACGCCAGGTGATGGTAGGCAAGGGAACTCCAGTTGCACTGCAAGTGAGGGTTACGTTCTGTCCCGAGGAACGAACCACATCCTGACTGGTTTGGTAGTCCACGATGTCTGGTGGCACCACGACGTCCAAGTAGCCCATTTGACTTTTCATGGGATCTGTGTTAATTTGGCACATGTACCTGGTGAATGTTAAGAACTAATAGGTTACTAACAGTATGCGAAACCTTGGAAATAGTCACGTCATTAATTTATTCTGAAGTATAATCGAAACGTATAAAAAAACTTTGATTTATATCAAGCAAAGATGCCTCACAACAAATGAAGAAAGCTGTTTTTTAACCTTAACGATTTGTTTTCATTAACAAAAGTATTTGTTTGGTTTTTATATCGTTGGAAGATGTTGAAAATGGTTTGTATTCGAAACAACCTAGTATTAAATTTTGGCTTCCAAATTAAAGTGGTTTTGACTTTATAACACAAAGCCGCTTTAATCTTATTTCATATACCATTGTATTCCACGAAAGAAATAGGTCTATTAATGGTCTATATGAAAAGAGATAACTTAACGGCTTTCGAGTGTCAAGAAAGGCTTCATTCACTTTATTGTAGTTATAAGACTCACCAGCCGCGATCCGACTCCTGGACATCGCGTATTTTCAACTGCCAAATGCGATGCTCCGTGTGGGAGATGGCGATACGATGGTTCTTGGTGATGACGTGGTTCTGGATGCTCAGAATAGTCTGCGTGTCCACTCGTAACCAGGCCACTTTGAAGCTAACTAGGTCGTGGACAACACACGTGAGCAGGGCATCCCGTCCCACGGGAACTGTTGAATTGTTGATGGGTCCGCTGAACTTGGGATCCGCTGGAAAGGAAGATGGCACCAAACCAATTGGTCGACTTTTATGACTTTCATCATTAGGGCGCTAAATGGGGCAGACGAGCCCCAACTGGTGGGTGGCTGGCTCGGGGTGGTTTATGAGGCTTGCAAATGTTAGACACTGGCATTTGCTCTGTTTCCATTTCCCAAGGAACTCAGGCGCAAACATTTAATTCAATTAAAAAATAACCTTTTTTAATGTGTGGCTTTTCTAATCCACAGTTATCAGGATAATTATTTCATTTCTTTTTTCACACATTTCTGTGTGCGTCTGCAGAATGTCAACAGCCTAGGCAAACAATTTCCAACATTTTCCAGATGGCCAGATGGCTCGCCAAAATGGTCAACGATATTTAAAATTGTTCAACGGCAATAAATTTGTTGAGGTTATCATTACGCCGAGACAGCGGCAAATAATCCAACAATTAGGGAAATTAACTGTTTAGCGGAAATGCCAGCTACTTGAATGGTAAATTTTGCTGTGATATTAACGGAAATCATTTTGTTAATTTTAAAAAAAATGCAAAGAATATCGTTAAAAACTGAAAAAACAAGTTTAGCTTTCTTGGAGATGATGGTCGACTGAGATTGAATGATAAATTAAATTATGAATAAAATAATTTATTAATTTCGAAATTATTTGTAATGCATGAATTCAAAAAAAAATACATACCACATACTAATATAACCATAGTTACCTCCTTGAACCCCTTCGACTAAATTTTTAAACACCTACAGAGCAAAACTGCTCTTTTCCGGTTGATTTTTGATTCGGCTCAACATGAGTCCCATGGCAATAATTTCCAGTCAAACTGCCCGACCGCAAGACTTCGACATTTGCCGTCAGCCAACTTAACCACCAGAGTTCCGACCGCAAACCGACCTCCGACCATCGCAAACACAACAACAATGGCAAGGAGGCGGGAAAAATGGCAATGGAAAAAAATCACATCACATGCCTAACAAGTAGCATGACTTTGTGGCCAGGAGACGAGAAATAGAGCGGGCTCTTCATTCCCCACACACAGCAAATACCTAAATTACAATTATGACCAAATAATAACCCGAAAAAATGCAAAAATCTAATAGAGCAGCGTGAGGCAGGTGCTGGTACCTGGAAAATTGTAAAAAGCTGGCTACACCTTTACGTTTTGCCCCACCTCCATGCATTGATTGCGTCGTGGTGTGGGTGTGGATGTGGGCGGGCTGCCACCAAACTAGCATCAAATTGGGGGAGCCTACGATGCCATGCCATATAGCCTATAATTTGCGATTATGTTTGGGTCTGCTCCTGGCCGAAGTAAGGTGTTTTGGGCCCGAGTTCGAGTTCGAGTCGGGGTCCCGCCTTACGTCCCTTTTAAAAGTGAGAGACGGTCGAGACGCCATTGTTTGACTGCTTTCAGTTGATATGGTTTCTGTGTTTTTGTTGCTATTGCAATTTGGCTATTGCATGTTTGCATATTGAAACATTCCAAAGAAAGGGACGCGCGATTTTAACTTTTATGCCATAAAACACATAGTATTTGCACTGAGGATAAAAACTTGGCTAGCCAAATTTTAGATGCCTACAAACACGAATAAGAACGTGAAATCACATATGTACTCGAATGATTCAGTTTCAGACACACAATAAGCCACTGTTTTGGCTTAGAAAGCAGTCTATGCAGTCGTCTGAATTTGCATGCTAAGCGAACATAAATAACTTTCTATATTTTGCACTTCTGAAAAGTCGCATTGTTTTGTTTAACAATTTACTGAATACCAAGACATTAACTGTGGGTATGATTCCGGTGTATGTAAATTCGAAGAAAGTTAATTAACTAAAAGGACTTAAATAACTGTATTTGTATTTGTTCTTTTACAATTTATTATTACAAAAGGTTTTATATTGGAACCTTTAATTCATATTGTTTCATTCAAATTATTTTTATAGTGTATATACACACATAGTTGTTTTTATAGTTATAATTTCCTTCATTTATGTATGCTAGGTAATATAATTTCGCTTTTGGCCACTGCACGCCTTTGTTGTTGGCACTTTTTATGGAGGAAATTGACTATGAGTTGTTAAATATATTCCTGTTTTCTTCCACGATTTGTATCGCAGACCAAAGGCTTAAGCCGCAATTTCCCCACGAAGGCCCTGCAATTCCGGCGGAGTCCCTTCCCCACGCCGTTGAACTTGAAACGGAAAGTGAATGTCCTGTCTCCTGTTCGACACTCCAACTGTCTGCAGGCAAGTGCAGGCGAAAAGAATCACAATCAGCACGCAATGTCTGCCAAAAAAAAAGGGAAATAACCCACTGCAGTGAATGGAAGACCAGAAACTCCCACCTAAAAACGCGGTGCTTCAACGGCAGAAACCGCCAACCAGGAATGGAAAAATGAAAATATGGCAGAGTGCAGTAGGAAGTGGGAAAACGTCGCCTTTCCGCGACTGTCTGTCTGCCTGCCCGCTGTGAAAGGGGGTGGTTGGGTGGCTTGGGCGATTTTGAGGCGGAACATCGTGGGGTGCATCACTCCTTTGAGCCACTTCTCACTTTCTTATCGCACGCTGCGGCTAGCCTGCCAATATTTATGTTTATTTTGCATCTGGCACATTGATTTAAATAACAAATTCCCATTTTTGATATATTTATCGCACTTGGCTCGCCAAAGTCAAGGAAAATTTGTTTTGTTTTTTTGCCGACCATTTTCCCTGACGGAAGTTACCCCTCGTTACTCTTCTGCAGCTCTCCTCCAGATGCCCCTCCGCCGCTGTCCCGTCCTGTCTGGGGAACATGTCGGGCACAGTTTATTCACTTATGGACTCGTTGGACTTCCGATTACCAGCTGCCTTCCATTTTAGCCGCTGCTGCTGCTATTTATAACGCTTTTCGTTAGCACTTTGGCTTTAGATAGTTTGCAGTCAATTAGCTGTACATTTTTCGGGTAACACATTGTCTGGCTGGCTTACAAAAGTTTAGTTTGTAGCCAGTATAACGGTTAATTGTTGAAGTTAATAGCTTTCGAAAATTGTATTCAAACCCAGGATTTATAAGATGATATAGCTTTCTCTAGAAGGGCACTAAAAGTCATTAAGTAACTGACATTGGTGAAATTATAAAATTTTATAAAGTTGAAGGTCATCAATTATTTAATATTTACTATTTTACTTTACTCTAAAGATAAATTTGACAAGAACTTTTTATAAATCAGAAAAAACTTGCTTTAAATACTTTTGGATTACTTGCTTTGTATTTTTCAACAAAGTTATCTTCAGCTTAGAGTTTACATTTTAAGCTCGGTAAATCCTGAGTGGAAGATAAGGAAACTGAAAATTTTAATCTGAAAACTTAGTTACTTAACTGAAGTTACTTAGCTAACAGAATTTACTTAAGAGTTACATTAGGGGTAAGCTCCATTTTAATTTGATTTATTTATTATAAATATGTATTTATTTTCACCATTTTCTCGATTGACTTACAATTATTTAACTCCGAGAAGCTGGCCCTGCTTAAGTACAGACACTGCATGAGGAGCAGCCAAATGCCAGGAAATCGCCTTCTCATATTCAAAGTTCAACCGCAACCAAAGGACGAAAGTTTTAAAATATTGTTTTCCACTTATTTTTTATTTTGCCACTTTCACTTGTGTGGCCAAATAGCCCAAGTTTAACTTCCGCTGCACTAGCGCAAATTTATTTTTTCCGGTCTTTGGATGAAGTTTTCCGGCGATTGCGATTGCCTTGGACAGACGTCCGCACACTCTTACAACTGGCCGCGAACTGCGAGTGGAGCTGATAATCAAGTGTCAAAATTCATATTCAAAATTCAAATGCTGCCCGTCGCGGCTGTGGCGTTGCGCATGTGTCCTGCGGCCTTCCAAGGTGGCTGAGTGGGTGGTTGCTGATGGGCGGGTCTGGTTGGCCAGTAGTCAAGGTGCCCCGCAGCCAAAGGACGAAGGTATGCAATAGTAAATGTTTCATTCATAAAGCGCCGGGCGTAACATTTTCATATGCACGTGAGGGAGTATGTTGCATGATATGTTGCCGAGGGAAAGTGACACATCATTGGTATTTTCGGGGGCAGACAGAAGGGACAGCCATCTCCTTGCCAACTCCAACTACAACACACTCCCAATACCATTCTAATTAACCCCGAAATTCCGCACATCTCCGGCCAAACTTTCACCTGTCTTCGCATCCTTTGGCATCCTGCTCTCAGCTTTCGTGCTCTTTTGCCACGCCTGCACTTTTCCGACTGCCTTGGTTTGCATGTGTGAGATTTTTAATAAGTTAGCAATAAGTTCGCTCCGCTATTTGCGCACAATTAGCGCTTTTCAATAGCGATAACAATAATGATAATAAGCAAGCGGAATTTGCTTGATTATTGTTTTCTCTGGGGGAGCAACTTTTGCAGCCGCACGCAAGTTTCTCTCGCAGTGTGTAATTTTAGGCGAACGGACCTTCTCGGATTTCCTTTTCCATTGAATAAGAATTGGCGGATTTGAAGTACACACTTATAAGTTTATATGTGAAATATTTTTTGATTCATAACTCTGTTAAGAATTCTCTATTATAAGCAAAACTGATATGATGATGAACTGATGAGTAACACACTCAACCAAATAGCGTATGAATGTTCCGATTTGAAAAATCTTTGGTAAATCGATAGATATTGGCAAAAAATATTATATGAGGTCAAACGAAGACAAACAAATTATAATATTATAAATGCCACAGTTTTCCGAGATTTGTGGGCGTTATAGTAGGCGTCCCCGAATAAAAACACCACTTTGAGCTGCGGTGGCATCCCAAGAATGTGTAAGCTTGATCCTAACTTTCTAGCTTTTATAGTTACCGATTTAAAAGATCTAGGATCCGGCACACACACATAAAAATATATCGATAAGAATCCAAGTAGGATGTTATCGATAGGAAGCTTATATAGAACAATTCGAATTGAATCCCCAAGAATCCGAGTAGCGATCTAAAAGATCTAGGATCCGGCACACACACATATAAATATATCGATAAGAATCCAAGTAGGCTGTTATCGATAGGTAGCCTAGGGGGTTAGGACGAATCCCCAAGAATCCGAAGGCGTGGGATCGAGTCCCCCAGAAAGATCCAACACACACACATAAAAATATATCGAAAGAATCCAAGTAGGCTGTTATGGATAGGTAGCCTAGGGGGTTAAGGTGAATCCCCCAAGTATCCGACGACGTGGGATCGAGTCCCCCAGAAAGATTAAACACACACACATAAAAATATATCGAAAGAATCCAAGTAGGCTGTTATTGGTAGGTAGCCTAGGGGGTTAAGGTGAATCCCCAAATATCCGAGGACGTGGGATCGAGTCCCCCAGAAAGATCCAACACACACACACAAAAATATCCAAGTAGGCTGTTATCGATAGGTAGCCTAGGGGTTAGGGCGAATCCCAAAGTATCCGAAGGCGTGGGATCGAGTCCCCAGAAAGATCAAACACACACACATAAAAATATATCGAAAGAATCCAAGTAGGCTGTTATCGGTAGGTAGC